AACCAAACCCTAACTTTCAATATTAAGAAAATGGAAGAAGGAAGGAGGATTTAAGTGTAGGAAGTTTACTCTTAATGTTTATGAGCTTTAAAATACTCTCAATACTTAAATTCTTCAAGCCTTAGCACTACTCTTTTCATTTCTCTCATTCCTTTTCTTTGTTTCTCTTCTCTGTTGCATCAGTTTCGTGATCTTATTACAATAAAAAAGTAACCATGCACCACGGTCCATGGTATAGAGAGAATCTCTCTAAGCGTGTTACCACACATGCATCGCAACGGCATGATTCACAAGCCACGACGCATGGCACAAAACCTCCCTTTTCGAATTTTCTTCCTCTTTTCATTCTCGGGTGACTTGATTCTTTCTTGGACCTGCTTCCAGGGCTGGAATTAAAATCAAACATGTCTTTTAGGCCTCTCTGGCCACACACCTTGCTAATATATTTAATTAATCTAATCGAGCTTAATTAATTGGTTTAAAATCGAAGACGTTACAATATTATTTGCTTAATTAACAACCATTATAACTATAATTTATAAATAATATTATCACATTAATTGCAGTACGATTTATTATAGTATATGTTTTATTTTCCTTAAGGTGATTCATGGGGCAACACATTTTGAAATACAAACTTAAATTTTATAGTTTATAACCTTTGCATGAAAAACTCAATTATCGCTTGATTATTGAAAGATATTTTTGATTGCCCTTTAAACTGCTTTCATGATAAATATATAATTAACTTTGGAATTCATAAAAATTATTTTTATGCTTATACTCATTTCTCAGTGGAGATCATAAGAATCTTTGAAGAATGTCTACAACTACGATTTAATTGATTCCTTAAAAAAATCAATACATCTATTCCCAAAAAGGTTATTATAATTGAAACATTATTAGCTTGTTCTTAATCCATGAACTTTCAACAAAAACCTCTCAATTCAAAGGAAGCATCACCCACAACTCAACTCGACACGCACAAAGTTTAGTATCCTTAATAAAACCTCAATATCGTAATTTTTTTTTCCAGCATCCACACTAATTACCCAGCCAACATCTTACTTCTAATCTCCTCATTCTTTCTCATTCTTTAGAAAAAAACAAACAAGCCAAAGAAAAAAAAATAGTAAATCTCATAACTTGCAAAAATTTCTCCATGCAAGAAAATCCTAGCTAAAAAAAATCATTTGATTTACTTTTAACTACTTTCTAATTATTATGAGTGACTTCTTTCTCTAATTAGGACTTTATATAAAGTCCTTATTAAAAAAAACTAGAGTAAGTTTTTTTTTTTTTTGAACTATTCAGAACTCGACAAAAATGCAACAATTTAACTTGTTTTTATATATAGGATGAACGTTACAATTTAGGCTACATATATATATATATATATATATATTGGGACTATTGTGTTTTGGAACCACTGAGCAAAGTTACACCAATCTCATATTGTAGTTGGACAGCTTAATTATATAATAATGACAACACAAACACATAATGCAAAAATTTAGGCTTGAAAATGATCTTTTTGTAAATTCTTTCGAGACATGTGTACTGGTTCATAAAGTGCAAATTATTTGTTATTTATTATAAACCTGACAAAAAGTTGATAATATTTTGTCTCTCTCTAAACATTTCCTGAGTTATATACCTAATTAATCAGTCCCCAACTTATGTATTTATTATAAGTGCTCTCTATGTTGAAATATTAAGGAAGTATTATGGAAAATGAATAATAAAACCCTTTAATTTGATATTTTAAATTCCACTAAGAATAGAAACATTGATTTCAAAAATATTTTTTATTGGAATCCACAGTTCAAAAATCTTTTCCTTTGTAACATATGAAAATATCAAATTCACAAACTATTATTATATTTTTTTGGTTTGGTAATGCACAAAAAAAAAATTTCTTAAGACCCATATCCCTTTACAATTTAATTAATTTGTTAGATTAGTCTGAGTTCATACTAAACTCTAATTATACAAGTTTTTCAAATAAAATCTTTAAGTGTTAATCTAAATTATTTTTTAAATAGAGTAATTATTAAAATTTCATAAAGGAAGCTAATTATTATATTATATATTATATGCATACACGGTGATAGCTATTGTGAAGAAAAGGACAAACGAGGAGCAATGACTTGACCAACAGTTCGCGTGCTTAGAGTTGAAAATAAGGGCCAAGCTTGGTGGGCCACTCATTTAAGCCCGTTTTAATAAGGGTATAAGCTTAAAAATTTGATATTTTTAAAGATAACCGGGCTTTGAAGTCTGGCCCTTTTAAGCCCTAAAAAAAAAAGCTCGGGCCCGGGCGGCCTGTCAAGCCCGTTTAACTTTTTTTTTTTTTGCTTCTATGTTAGACTTTGGGGAATGGCCGAATTGGGGTTGGACTTTCAACCTCCAAAGAAATCTTATGCAGCACACTCATACTCGGTCTCTCACTCTCAGACCTGTGACAGAATTAGAAATAACATTTTATTTGTGAATGATGATAAGGAGATCTTAATTAGCATTGACGATGACTTTTGTCTTTATCTTATTTAGACTTCTAAATCTTGAGTTTATTTTTTAAATTATGTGAGACTTTAGTTTAATGTATCTTGAATTTTAAAATACTCTAAGTAAATTAAAATGTTAAATTTTATTTTATTTTATTTTTTCTGTAAATGGGCTTATGGGCTCGGCCCTAAGCCCTTTGAATAAGGGCCGGGCCTCAACTTTTGGGTGAAATTGGGGTAATTGAGCTTTCGAGCTTAGGCCTATAAGGGCCGAGCCCATATAGGCCGAGCCCGCCCGTTTTCTGACTCTATGCATACTGTGTGTGTAAGCATAGATTTATTATATAAGGCACAAGAGGAGGAAAATGAAAGAGAGATGGGAGGAAAGACAAGGAAGGATACCTGCGAGGGCTATTGGAAAACAGTAGGCGGCTGTGTTCAGAGAAAAGTGAATAAAACTAAATGAAGGTAGGGGTAGGGTTTTGTTATATTTTAGACTCCTAAATTTATAAACTTAAACTAATTTTTTTTCATTAATTATTATTATCTTTATAATATCTTTAAAGATAATTTTAGAATGATCCAATATCTTTTAAAACTTAACAAAATTATCTGACTTTTAATATTATATATATATATATATAAGTTAGTTTCAAACATTTATTAAATTTAATTACTTTAGTTATTAATTTACATATATAGATACATACATATATATATATATATATATATTACTGTGTTGCTATTTTAGATCCAATACTTAATTCTATGCTCTCTATGGTGCCTATCAACAATCTAAGGCTAAATAAAACTTAGGATGTTACACTTAAGCCCATGTAAAACATTTGAAAATAGATATTCATAATTTCACTCACATAATAACATTTACTTGAAAAATAATGCTTTTTAGCACTTTTTATATAAAGAGAGTTGGTCACATAAATCATTGACAAATATATTGGAAAAAATTAAGTCTCAACTCCTGATATTATCATTAGGGACACAATATAGACAACAGGTGCCCTAACTCACTATATGCATGATCACACCTCCCTTATATCCTCCTTATTCCTCTGGCATAAAATCGTAAGCTATAACTCAATGTGATAGTCTATATTTCATGAATTTTCTAACCTAAACACTTGTGAGGGGATTACCCAGCCATGGTGCACCTAACTCACTTATGAAATACGGTTTCTCCTATTTCTTACACTATGGGGTGTCATACACCCTAAACTAGCCTCTTTATTGAACTGGTGGATAGCTAACTATATTCAAATCCCTTATTGAACTAGTGGGACTGTCCCTCGTTAAACAAGTAGGACAATATAGATATAATCAATCCAGCAAACCACCTCACAGATGGGCCTTACCACGTGGATTTTATCATCTACTCCTCTTCCTAGGCAAACTCCCACCTCTCAGATCATGCAATGCACATTTATGCCATAATTCAGAAATATACAATTCATAGAACTTCACATTATCAATTTTCATTAAACTTTATCATTACACAAATCATTGGACTTCTTAAACACATTTTCATGGGACTTCAAACCAAATAAGTCATTGAACTCCAATTTCACAATCATTGTACTTCACACTTTTAAAATCATTGAACTCTACTATTTTAAATATTATTGAACTTCTCATGAATAAAGATTCATGTTACTTCTCAATTCGCAAAATCATTAAACTCCCAATAAACATAATATGAAAATCCATCGATATTATTCTCTAAGAAAATTTTACATCACAAGGCATAAAACTCACACTATGATCTAGTGAATTTTCTAACAAATCAAGCCACACTTGCATTTCTTTTTAATTTACACATTTCAATGATAAATTATAAATTCATAAACTAATAGACACACAAAAGCATAAGATAAAATTTCCCCAGTTACCTTAAACTTTTGAGAGGTCAAAGGTTTTACCCCTCAATTACTCACTCCCAAAGCTGAAGCTTGAATGGTGCCAATGGTAGTTACTCTATAAGCATTTACCATGCAAAATATCAATATCCATTTTTGAGCTATTTTTCACTAACACTTTATCATTTCTAATATTCAAGATTTATCCTTAACTCATGTAAAAGTATCCATAAAGTTTCTTATCTTCCTTTAACTCTCATTAATAACATTGAGCTCTTAAATGAA